GCTGTCCCTCAGCTCTTCAGCTCAAGGCTAGTGCTCTACCACTCGAGCCACAGCACCACTTCCGGCTTTTTTCATTTTGCTTTATGTGGTACTGAGGAATCAAACCCAGGGCCTCAGGCATGCAAGGCAAGCGCTCTACCACTGAGCCACCTTCCCAGCCCGGAGATGATTTTTTTTTTTTTATCTTCAACTAGCCAGCAAAACACCGGAAGTGGGTCTGTGGCTCAAGTGGTGCAGAGCCAGCCTGAGCGGAAAAAGTTCAGGGACTGTGCCGCAGGCTTTGAATTCAAGCCCCAGTATCAGCACCAACAAACAACAACAACGAAAAACCTACCACTTTGAATTTGATCCACATTCCCCCAACCTCTCGCATTGCCAACCTCTGAGCTGGGTGTCCAGGGAATGATGGGAGGAATTGGGGGGAATCGATGCAGGATCATGGAGGCACTTCCGCAGAGACTCAAGCTGGTAAAAGTCTGTCTGTCATTCTCTCCCAGTTCCTTGGCCCCTGGGTCCTTACCTAACCTCCTGCAGGGCACTGAGCAGAGTCCGCTGTCCGGTCAGCAGGGTGCTGATGTTGGTGAGGTCCTGTGGGAAAGCCAGGCTCTTGGCTAGCTTGGGTATGGGGCCCAGACCCTCTGCTCCCAGCCTGCCTTCTTGGAGAGCCCTGGGGTCTAGTTCCCTGGAGGGGGGGGAGGAGCCAGGATGGTTGCAGAAATGAAAATTTGGATGAAAAGTGAGCATTAAGCAAACAGTATGCAAATCCCATGCAAATCGCATGCAAATCCGCACCTAATCTATTTCTGTCACAGGTCTATAGATCTGAGTTTAAAAAACATGGCATCTTCTCTCCCCAGCCCCAGCCATGTGGCTCTGGCGGGCATTTACTTGTGGGATGATGCTCTTTTTGCAGCCTGTGGCTCACGCCTGTAATCCTAGCTACTTAGAAGGCTGTGATCTAAGGACTGTGGTTCAAAGCCAGCCCAGGCAGGAAAATCCATGAGACTCTTACCTCTAGTTAATCACTAAAAAGCCAAAGTGAAGCTCTAGCCGAAGTGACAGTGTTAGCTTGAGTGACAAGTTCTGGGACAGCGTGCAGGCCCTGAGTTCGAGCCCCAGGACCTCCTCTCTCCCCTCCCCGCTTCCACACACAGATCTCAGCCTCCTGAGTAGCTAGGATTACAGGCATGAGCCACCAGCGCCCGGCTAGCCCTGTTTCATTCAATGACCTGTAGTCTTTCAACCTTGTCCCCATTTTCCTGCAGTTTTTAGGGGTGGCTAGCTTTTGGCTGCAGCACTTTTCCTCTTGGGGCTTGAACTCAGGGCCTGGGTGCAGTCCCTGAGCTATTTCACTCAAAACTGGTATCTTACCACTGGAGCCACAGCTCCACTTCCAGCTTTTGGTGATTAATTGGAGATAAGCGTCTCACAGACTTTCCTGCCCAGTCTGGCTTCCAACTGCGATCCTCAGATCTCAGCCTCCTGAGTAGCTGGGATGACAGGCAGGAGCCACTGGCACTGGACTAGCAATTTTCCTCTTGTGGACCCCCAGAAGAAGCCTGGGGTGCCTGCCTGCTGGGCTACTTACCCAGCCTTCCACAGGCCCTGCCTGGCCTGGGAGCCTCATCTGCTCCCTCCATTGCTTCTCGGCCTGGGCCATCTGCTTCGAGAGAGCCCGGAGTGACTGCAGGATCCTTGTCTGTTTGTCCAGTGTCTCCTCCAGGTCAAAGAGCCTTTCCCCTACGGTGGGTGGAGCAGAGATGGGAGGGTGTGGCCAAAGCCAGACAGCAGCTCCTCTCTTGGGGGCAATATCTGGAGAGAGGCTTGGGCAGAGGGCCGGACCCTGGGCCTGTGGTCCTATAATGGGACAGAGCTACTTACGCTGATAGTTCAAGGCCAGACTGGGGGAAAAAAGTTCAGGAGAGAGCCCATCTCAGCCAGTAAAAGCTGGGGGCGTGACACCTGTCACTCAGGAAGTGTAAACAGGAGGATCACGGTCCAAGCTAGCTCAGGCATAGACAGGAGAACTTAGCCAGGCGCTGGGGGCTCCCGCTTGACATCCTAACTACTCAGGAGCCTGAGATCTAAGGATCCCCCAATTTGAAGCCAAGCGTGTGTGTGGGAGTAGAAAACTTTTGAGACTCTTAGCTCTCATTAACCAGCAAAAAAAAGTTGGGGGCTGGGAAGGTGGCTCAGTGGTAGAGCGCTTGCTTCGCATGCATGAGGCCCTGGGTTCGAGTCCTCAGCACCACATAAGCAGAAAAAGCCAGAAGTAGTGCTGTGGCTCAAGTGGTAGAGCCCTAGCCTTGAGCTGAAAAGCTGAGGGACAGCGTCCAGGCCCAGAGTTCAGGCTCCACGACCGGCAAAAAAAAAGTTGGAAGGGGAGGTATGGTTGGAGTGGTAAAGCGCCAGCTTGGAGCTGAAAAAGTCAAATGAGAGTGACTGGCTCGGAGTTCAAGTCCCTGCACTTGCACACTCAGACACACAGAAAAAGTGTGCCTTCTGCTTCCAAGACCTAAGACCCTCCCCTAGGGAGTGTGTCTGGGGCAGGCAGGATAGCGGAGGCCCAGGTCCTCCTTACAGATGGCCTCCTCATCCCTCCTCCCAGGGTCCCCGGGTCTGTGGCGGTCAGATGGGCCGCCCGGCCTTCCTGCTCTCCTACCCTCTTCCTGGGCTTTGAAGTCAGGCTGGGCCATGCTGGCCCGGGTGCCCAAGGCCAGCTGTGCTGTCAACTCTTCCAGCTGCCTGGCCAAGCGGAGCTGCTCCATGTCTAGGAAGGCCTGGAGGCCAGCCTGGAGGAGGAAGACCAGGGGTGAGGCCTCTGGTGGCTACGACCCTTCCTCTGCCCCCCCACTCCCCAGCACTGCCCAGCGTAAGATCCAGAACACACAGGATGGGGAGGAGGTGAAGAGGAGGAAGGGCTGGAATGGCAGCATCTGTGTGGGGGGGGGACACAGACAGAAGCATCCAGGGATCCCAGGGTCCCCCACAGGGCCTCACCTCCAGGCCTGGCTCATGCAGACTGAAGGTAAGGAAGGACAAGATGTCGTGGTCATCTGGAGGAGGAGTTCACAGAGGGAGGTGAAGCCCTTCCATGCCCCGCCCACCCCACCAGGCCATGCCCACCCCACCAGGCCACGCCCACCCCACCCAGGCCACGCCCCCAGCACACACTGCACCCTGAGAAAGTCAAGAGACTGCATGAGCCCAGGGCCCTGGTAGCTCACAAGGCGGAGGGGAGGGAGGAGGGACATCATCCCAGCTACTCAGGAGGCTGAGATTTGAGGATCACGGTTCAAAGCCAACCCCGGGCAGGAAAATCTGTGAGGCTTGTTCACCTCCAATGAACCAAGCCAAAAGCTGGAAGTGGCAGCGTGGCTCAAGTGGTAGTGTGCCAGGCCTGAACAAAAAAAAAGCCAAGCGAGAGTGCAAGGCCCTGAGTTCAAGTCCCAGGACCAGAGCAAAGAAATAATGAAAGAAAGTAAAAGTAAAAAGAACTCCCAGCCAGATAGGTGCTGGTGGCTCACGCCTGCGATCCTAGTTACTCAGGAAGTGGAGATCTGAAGATTGAGATTCAAAGTCACATTCAGCAGGAAACGTCCATGAGACTTTTTCCCTCCCTAGGTGCAGGTCCTGAGGCTTGAACTCAGGCCTTGGACACTGTCTCTGAGCTGTTTTGGCTCAGGGCTAGTGCTCTACCGCTTGAGCCATAGTTCCACTTCCAGCTTTTTGATTATTTTGGTGGTTCGTTGGAGACAAGCGTCTCACGGAATTTCCTGCCTGGGCTGGCTTTGAACTGTGATCCTCAGATCTCAGCCTCCTGAGTAGCTGGGATTATAGACATGAACCACTGGCCTGGGACCCTTTGAAACTTTCAATAATCCCTTGCAAAGCAGATGTGACGTTCTCCTGGGAGGGAGCTGGCATCTGCCCGGATCACGGGGTAAGAAGACCGTGGACTCTGTGCCCAGGTGAACCGTGCTTCACCAAACACCGCCCCTCAGCTCCTTCCCCACCTAGAGGGGCCCTTACCTGCCAGAGTGCTGGTGGCTGCAGAGACCCCAAAGAAACCTTCAGGGGCCAAAACCAGGGGCCCGACGTCAACACAGACCTCATCCGGGTCTCTGGGTGTGAGGCCACTGCTCAAGGACACCTGAGGGTTATGGAGGGGGTGAGCTGGGCACTACTTATGTTCAAGTTCTGCACACAGCTGGGGGAAGGTACCTGGGTCCCCTCATGGGTGTGAGGACTCAGGGGTTTCCCAGAGAGACCTCCTATGCTAACACGCAACTCTGTGGGGGATGCTCAGCAGCTCTATATCTCCTTTGTGGCTTCACATTTTGTTGTTGTTGTTGTTGGTCTTGAACTCAAGGCCCAGGAACTGTCCCTGAGCTCTTTTTGCTCAGGGCTAGTGCTCTACCACCTTGAGCCACAGCGCCACTTCTGGTTTTCTGGTGGTTCCTTGGAGATAAGAGTCTCATGGACTCTCCTGTTCAGGCTGGCTTTGCATCGTGATCCTCAGATCTCAGCCTCCTGAGTAGCTAGGGTGACAGGCGTGAGCCACCGGCATCTGGCCAACAGGAGAAATGTATTTGCCACAAGTTCTAGAGGCTTGAAATCCCCAGTGGCAGCGTGCACAGGGCCCTGCTTCCTCTCCACGTCCTGTGGGAAACACTTGCTCCCTTGCCCTTCCCAGTGTGTGTGGCGGGTTGCCTTGGCTCGTGGCCCCAGCATTCCAATGGCCGCTAGGTGTCACATGATCTCTGCATCAGCTCTACATGTTGAAGCTCAATGGGAGGCGGGGGTGGGGGACTTGTCCCCCAAAAGCAGGAAGGAAACTCACACGAAGCCTCTGCCCCCAGTAGGTGATGCGGACTTTGAAGGGGTGGGGCCGGTTCCTGAAGTCTCGGTGACATGAACCAAGCACGGCGTCATCTTCGTACCTGTGAGACTCGGAACTCAGTGACGTCACACAGAACTCAAGGCCTCGGCCAATGGGGATGGGTCTCAAAGACCAGGCCTGCAGTGCCATTCCTTTCCTCCTTCGGAGACTTAGTATGGGACAAGTTCCCATTGTCTAGCTTGAGTCTCCCTTGCTATTATAGTTTGACAGAAGAAAGCAAAGTCACCAGGCTCCGGTGACTCATGCTTGTCATCCTAGAGTTCCTCGGGAGGCTGAGATCTGAGGGTTGTGGTTCAAAGCCAGCCCGGGCAGGAAAGTCCATGAGACTCTTATCTCCATAAACCACCAAAAAACCAGAAGTGGTGCTGTGGCTCAAGTGGTAGAGCGCTAGCTTTGAACTGAAGAGCTGAGGGACAGCACCCAGGCCCTGAGTTCAGGCCCATGATTGACCAAAAGAAAAAAAAAAGGAAGCTGATAAAACTGGGTGCTGTGGCTCATGCCTGTAATCCCAGCTACCCAGGAGGTTAAGCTCTGAGGATCATGATTGGAAGCCTGTCTAGAGAAGACAAATCCTTGAGATGCTTTATCTCTAAATACCCTTCAAAAAGCTGTAAGTGGAGCTGTGGCTCAAGTGGTAGAGCATCAATCTTGAGCCAAAAAAAAAAAAAAAAAGCAAGAAAGCCAGGTACCAGTGGCTCACACCTATAATCCTAGCTACTCAGGAGGCTGAGATCTGAGGGTCACGGTTCAAAGCCAGCTCGGGCAGGAAAGTCTGTGCGACTCTTATCTCCAATAAACTACTCAGAAAACTGGAAGTGGCGCTGTAGCTCAAGTGGTAGAGCGCTAGCCTTGAGCTGAAGATCTGAGAGACAGCGCCCAGGCCCAGAGTTCAAGCCCCACGACTGACAAAAAAAAAAAAAAGGCTAATAATTGCAAATACCTCCTAAGGCGGTTATGAGGTTTAGCTCCTTCAATGAGCATCACGCCTGGCATGGGGCCTGCTGACAGTACACTCCCCCCATAAAAGCAATTATTCTAATTGATGTGAGGTCAGGGATGTTTGCTGAGAGACGACAAACTGGCCCGGCAGGGAGGCCACGTCATCTGGGAGAAAGGGATGGGTGTGCGGCCCTGGCGGGAAGGGTGTGGATCCAACCCGGGGGCTGCAGCTCAGCACTCAGTGCTGTGCTTGCTGGGTGAGCCTTCCACGTCACCCCACCTCTCTGTTTATCTTGAGTTGGTGTTGGCCAAGGACTTGACAACTCAGCCTGGAAGAGCCAGAAACTCTGGTCTTGGGGACCTAGAGGCACAGCTGAGATCCATGGGGGAGGTAGGAGAGAGAGACAGACAGACAGAGAAAGACAGAGAGACAGAGAGAGAGACAAAGACAGAGTAACAAGAGCAGTAGCTCTAACCAAGCACCATGCCCCACGCCTGTAATCCCAGCTACTCAGGAGGCTGAGATCTGAGGATCACGGTTCAAAGCCAGCCTGGGAAGGGAAAGTCTGTGAGACTCTTATCTCCAATAAACCACCAGAAAACCGAAAGTGGTGCTGTGGCTCAAGTGGTAGAGCGCTAGCCTTGAGCTGAAGAGCTCAGGGACAGCGCCCAGGCCCAGAGTTCAAGCCCCACAACCAACAAAAGAAAAAGGAAAAAGAAAAGAAAGAAAAAGCCAAGGGCCTGAATTTGAACCCAGGACCAGTACGCACACACACACACACACAAAGGCACATGCATGCACACACACAGCACGTAGCATTGGGAGAGGTTGGCACTGCAGGGTAGTGGCCCAGGAAGGAAGGAAGGAAGGAAGGGAGGGGGGTGGTCAGCCCTGCCCCCAGACTCTTACCCAAACGGCCCTGCTGGGGAAGGCGCGCTGCGGCCCAGCACGCGGACAGCTGGCCTGTCCTGAACGTAGAAGACAACACTCAGGGAGGAGGTCCGGAGCGGGGGCAGAGGGCACACTCACCTGGCCCGATGCCACCCACCTGGGCATCCATGATGGTGGAGTCCAAGACAATTCCAAGGCTATCCCCCAGGGCCGGCTCACCCGGGACAGCGCTGGCCTGGCCCCTGTCCTGAGCGTACCACACGCCCTGCAAGGCCCAGGCCCTCAGCTTGGGGAGAGCCCGACAGAGCACCCGCCCTGCCTCCCCCCTGCACACTGGGCGGGGTCACTCACCACGCCCTGGGCTCCCCGGGCCCCGGGACCTGTCACCCTCATCCGCACTTCTACCTCCCAGGAAGAGAAGGGGACAGACGTGCTGCTCCACACAGCCCCGCTGTGGTGCCTCATAGACGGCGCCAGCCGTACCTCTTCTAGGCCCACGATGGCATCTAGAGAGCAGGGCAGCTCAGAGCCATGCAAAACACACACACACACATACACACACACACACAGACCCTCACCCCGACACTCCACCAGCCACAGGTGGAGGTCTGACCCACCAGCACCTGCCATTTGCTAAGTAAAAACCCAGGCCAGTAGCTCATGCCTGTAATCCCAGCTACTCAGGACATTGAGATTCGAGGATCACGGTTTGAAACCAGCCTGAGCAGGAATGTATGGGAGCTACTTATCTCCAATAAACCACCCCAAAAGTCAGGGGTGGAGCTGTGGCTCACACGGGAGAGCGCCAGCCTTGAGTGGAAAAGCTCAAGGATGGCAGCCAGGCCCTGAGTGCAAGCCCCAGGATTGGTGGCACACAGACAGACAGACAGACACACACACACATGTGCATGCACATGCACACACAAAGCACTCTGCTCAGAAGCAGGAGGGCTCTGAAGTAGAGGCAGGATCGTACAGGCTGGACTTTCTGTGTCTTGTTTGTGGTGTTTGGTGTTACTGTTGTTTTATTCTGTTTTGTGCTGGTCCTAGGATTTGAACTCAGGGCCTGGGTTCTTTCCCGAAGCATTTTTCCTTTTTGCTCAAAGCTAGCACTCACCACCTGAGTCATAGCTAATGGAGATAAGAGTCTCATGGTGCTGAGGAAGCTGAGATCGGAGGATTATGATTCAAATCTCTAATGAACCACTACAAAACCCCAAGTGGAGCTGTGGCTCAAGTGGTAGAGCGCTAGCCTTGAGACAAAAGAGCTCAGGGACAGCGCCCAGGCCCTGAGTTCAAACCCCATGCTTGCCTAAAAAGAAAGAGTCTCACAGGCTTTCCTGCCTTGGCTGGCTTCAAACCACGATCCTCAGATCTCAGCCTCTGGAGTAGTTGGGATGACAGATGTGAGCCACTGGTGCCCAGCTATGGAGTGTTAAGAGTTTTCCCTGATGCTGGAGGGTGGGGTGGAGGGAGCCCTTTATGACCGAGAAGGGTGGGGAGGGGGAAAGGGAGAGAAACTGAGGCAGACCTGGCAGGAAGTGGGGGAAAGGAAATCCGAGGCCCCGCCCAGCTTGTTCTTCATCCTCCATCCTCCATTCTGTCAATCTGGAACCTCGCCCAGGGCCTAGACCTTGCCAGAACTTTCCGGAGGCTGCTAATCCAAGCTGTTTGCTCTGCAGAAGACCCAGGATGGGGTATGGAGGGACAGAAGCTAAAAGCCAGAGGTGACCTGGGCCCTGGAAGCTGACTCTGCCTCCTCTGTGTGTGTGTGTGTGTGTGTGTATGTGTGTGTCTGTGTGTCTGTCTGTGTGTGTCTTTTTGAGGCAGTGTCTTGCTATGTAGCCTCAGCCTCTGGTTCTGGGGCTGGGCACAGAAGAACGGTGAGAATTGAGTGCTAGTAGCTCAGCCTGTCATCCTAGCTACTCAGGAGGCTGATATCTGAGGATTGTGGTTTGAGTCTGTAAAACTGTTGTTTGTTTTTGGTTGATTGTGGGGCTTGAACTCTGGGCCTGGGTGCTGTCCCTCAGCTCTTCAGCTCAAGGCGAGCACTCTACCACTTGAGTCACAGAGCCACTTCTGGTTTTCTAGTGGTTCATTGGAGATGAGTCTCACAGACTTTCCTGCCCGGGCTGGCTTTGAACTGTCGTGATCCTGAAATCTCAGCCTCCTGAGTAGCTAGGATGACACGCGTGAGCCATCAGCCCCCTGGCTATCTGAGAAACTCTTATCTCCAACTAACCAGCAAAAAGCTGGAAGTGGAACTGCGACTCAAATGGTAGACCAGCAGCTTTGAGCCTGAAAAAGCCCAGGGAGGGGGCTGGGAAGGTGGCTCAGAGGTAGAGTGCTTGCCTTGCATGCATGAGGCCCTGGGTTCGATTCCTCAGCACCACATAAACAGAAAAAGCTGGAAGTGGGTAGTGTGGCTCAAGTGGTAGAGTGCTAGCCTTGAGCTGAAGAGCTGAGGGACAGTGCCCAGGCTCAGAGTTCAAGCCCCAGGATTGGTGCGTGCACGCGCATGCGCGCGCGCGCACACACACACACACACACACACACACACACACATGCACATATACACAAGGGGGGGCAGAAAGTTAAAGCTGAAGCTGGTGGCTGGGAATGAATTTTTTTTGATGACTGGAACACAAGGGCAGCCTAGAAGGTTCTGGATCTCTGGTCCCATCACCCCAGCCTGGCCTCACCCCTGCCACTCCCTCCCTGGCCATGGCTCCTGGACCCTCCTGGGTCCTGGGCATGGCTGAGACCCTCTCCTCACCTCCATGGCAGCTCCAGAAGGGAATTCCTGCCCCAGGCCACGGCCCCTTGAAGCTGAGCTTGTATTCGAACCTGCGTCTTAGAGGAGGGAGCTCTTCCATGCCGTGGGGGGCCGGGCACAGGAGGAGCAGGCAGAGCAGCGGGGCGGACGTGCAGAGGCCAGGCATGGTGAGGGGCTGAGGTCCGGATGCCAGGCTGGGCGGCGGCGGGCAGCCAGGCAGAGAGGCGCTGGGCACCAGCCAGGCCCTGGCCCTTCCTCACCGCCAGCATCCTGTTCCTTGCAGCTCTGATCTCAGGCCCCACCTCCTCCACCTCCAGCGAGAATGGGCAGCTGGCCCCGGCTCACCCTCAGCTCTGTCCCTGGGCCTGGCCATCTTCCCTGGGTTCTAGAAGCTGATGACCGGGGCAGTGTCCAGGTTGCTACAGAGACCTTGTAGTACCCTGTTGTGGGAAGGTCTCTTGGTTGTGTGTGTGTGTGTGTGTGTGCACGCACATGCATGTGCAAGTGCATGAACTCACAGTCTGGGCGCTGTCCCTGAGCTTCTTTAGCTACAGGCTACTACTTGAGCCAGGACTCCACTTCTAGCTTTTTCTGAGTAGTTTAATAGAGATAAAGAGCTTCACAAGACTTCCTGCCTGGGCTGGCTTTGAATCACGATCCTCAGATCTCAACCTCCTGAGTAGCTAGAATGACAGCTATGAGCCACTAGTGCCCAGCTCTGCTGAGTTTTCTTGCTCACAGCTGGCACTCTACCATTTGAGCCACCCCTCTAGGGCTGTATTTTGCTGGTTAATTGGAGATGAAGTCTCAAGAGACTTCTCTGCCCCAGTTGGCTCTGAACTTGGAGCCTCAGATCTCAGCTTTTGGAGTAGCTGGGATTACAGACGTGAGCCACGGGCTCCAGAGGCTTCCTCCTCTCCCTGGCTGTGTTATTCCGCTTTCCTGTCCCCCTCAGCACGTTTGTATTCTTAACAAATAAGTGACATAAAGGGCAAATAAATGCAATGCATAGATCTCTTTTGCAATCCAAAGTTAACCCGCCAACCAGTGGGGAAAATGGGACAATCGGGGAAATTTGAACAATGGATATTTGATTCTGTTTGAGAATCATCATTAATATTGCTAGAAGTAGCCAGGCACTGGTGGCTCACGTGTCATCCTAGCTACTCAGGAGGCTGAGATCTGAGGATCTGTGCTGAAAGCCAGCCTGGGAAGACAAACTCGAGAGACTGCGATATCCAATTAACCAGCAAAAAGCCCAAAGGGGAGGTGTGGCTCAAGTGGTAGAGCACCAGCTGGGAACACACACACACACACACACACACAGCAAAAGTGTGAGGCTCTGAGTTCAAGCCCAGTACTGCTTTTCTAGGAGGGAAAAACAGAAAGAAGGAGGGAAAGCAAGGGGAGGGGAGACACTGTCCAAAAAGAAATGTACTTTTAACCTGACTTACGAAACTGTAACCTTTCTGTACATCCCCTTTATAATAATAAAAGAATTTTTAAAAAGTAATATAGTACTGTAGTGATGGTTATTTTTGAGAAGTATGCTAACCTTTATGAATAAATTCATAGAAAGTCCGGGATTGGTGTTTTTGTTGGTTTTGTCTGTCGTGGGGCTTGAACTCAGGGCCTAGGCACTGTCCCTAAGCTTTTTTCACTCAAAGCTAGCACTTTACCACTTGGGG